CTGCACTCTTCTGAGCCTCTCCCCTCCTTGTGCAGAACCTTCTGCAGCTCCCACAGCCCTGAGCATAGCCCGTCTGCACTTGTGACTTTCCCAAGACTGCCCCCTGCCCTTCTGGAATGACAGCATTTAGGAGTCACAAGGAAAGCTGCCACCTCCTTCGTGCATGGGCAGGACTGGGCCCTTTGCATGGGTTAACTCACTCGGCCCTTGCACACAGGGACACAGAGGCCCAGAGTGGCTGTCTGGACTCTGGGGCTGAGGCAGACCCTGGGGACCTGGGCAGTCCGGGCTGGGCTTCCTGCTGCTGGTCCTCTTTCTATTTCCTTACATCCAGCCCATCGTGTCTCTCTCCTAATCCCTCCTGCATCTCCCCGTGTCCAGATGCCCAGCCTGCTGGGTCCCTGCAACCCTCCAGGCTTTTCCCACCCCGCTACACCCCCCGCCCAACACAGCCAGGACTTCCTGACAGGATGCAAATCTGATTACACCTGCTCCTGGCAGGGGCCACCGGAGCCACCCCTGGGGGGCCAGGGGGCCTTGGGGCCTCTCCCTCCAAGCTGAGTGCTCTCCAGCCCTTTCCCTCTCTTGGCCTAACCCCTACTCGTCTTTCAGACCCAAGTTCAATGTCACCCCCAGTTCCCGCAAGGCAGCTCATCGCAGGGCTTCCCTGGGCAGTGGGGCCAGGGTCTTGCCCAGTGGGGTGTCTCTCTCATCCACTGGCCTGTGGTTACAAGAAAAAGGGTCACTTCCCACCCCTCCACACCCAGCAGGGCAGGGACACACCCATGATGCAGGAGTCCCATCTCCAGGGAGGGCCAGCCAAGAGGGTGGGCTGGACCAGCGCCGGGCTCCTGTGCCCCACCCCAGTCCCAGGCAGAGGGTGTGCCCCTCTCCCCACCCCACCACTGCCTGCCTGCTCGTTCCAGCTGCCTCTGCTCCTGGCTATCCCCCACAGCACCTCCAAGAATGAGCGACAACCAGCAGTGACACTCCTATGGACCCCTTCCTGAGCTGTCCCTCCCTGGGCTGTCCCTCCCTGGGGATGGGACCCCTGCATTATGCAGTCAAGGGACCTGCTGGTGGTGGCCTGTGTGCATGGTGCCCCAAATTGTGCCCTCTGCCCCTGCCCTCGGGGGCTTGCTTCTTGAGCGTCGTGGGTGGGGGTGTGGTCCCACCACCCTCTGGAAGGCAGTGCGGAGAAGGCCTTGCTGCTGCCATCTCGCTCCCTGCCCCTCCCCCCATGCTTCCCCCCTTTACTCCAGGGCTCTGCGGCCACCTGTGAGGCCAATGTATGAGACCCCGGGGCGGCCGGGCCAGTGGGGACCAGGGGCTGTGGGGGTCTGCAGGGAGCCCCGGGCTGCCTGCTCCTGGTGGGGTGGTCATCCATCTCCCCAGGCCTTCTGGCCAGCTCCAGCCCTGTGGTGTCCAGGGGACTTGCAGTCAGAAGGGTCCCCTGTGGCCTAAAGGAGAAGTTCCCCCTCAACAGCCTCCCTCTGGCCCCCAGCCCCCAGCCAAGCCCTCAGCTTCTCCCAGGACTCTGAGAACGAATCCCCCACTGCTGACTTTTAGGTTCGGGAGAGCCAGGTGGGGCGGCTGCAGGAGCTGCCTGCAGGGGGCAGAGTTGGGACGGGGATGGAGGCCCTAGGCCCCTCCTGGAACTGTCCACGGGGTGGGGGATGAGGTGGGTGGGCAGCCGGGAGGGCCAGGCACAGGATGGGCATCATTGGACCGTCGTTGGGGCCTGGGGGGCTGGCCTGGGGGGCTGCAGAGGAAGGAAGAGAGGGCTGATGTCCTGAGTCGGGGGGCGGCAGCTGGTGGGCATGGCCAGCAGGGGCAGCCCCAAACTCGGGGAGACCCACTCAAATGGGGAGCTTGTCGGGGGTCTGAACACGTGGCGCACATGGGTGGAGACCAGGCCCCGCGGTGGAATCTGAGACTGCAGGGATGTGGGGAATCGAGCCCCACTCCCTGGCCCCTCGGGCTGAACCCTGGGCTGTGCAGAGCCAGAACAGACACAGGAAATAGCCTGATTGCATTTGCACAGGAACACCAAATCCCTTGCAGCTGCAGTCGGCTGCGCCAGGGCCACAGGCGGGGTCGGCCATCGCCAGAGTCCTGACAGCTCCGCTGAGCGTGCCAAGGGGTCTGGGCTGCTGGCCGGGGGGCGCCTTTCCCAGGCCAGAGGCCCCCACCCCACCCCAGGAGAGCCGCCCCCCTTTCAGTTCCCAGAACAGAGCCCAGCTGTGGAATAGTGAGGGGGTGAGGTCATGGGGAGGGGGCCGCATTACTCATATCCTGGGGCCGCGGGAAGGGAGGAGGCGGGGGAAGGGGCTGGGAGGCCTCCTCGTCCTTGGAGCTGGGTTAGGAGCTGGGGGCCAGCAGGGCTTCTCCTCAGCATGAGGCTTTTAGGGGAGACACAAGGAGACCCCTACCCTGCACCCCCACTCTGTTCCCCAAGCCCTTGCCCAAGGAGGGCTAAGTGGGGTGACCCTCAGGGGGCCCAGCTCTATAAGGACAATGTTCCCAGAAAACGCTGGCTGGCCTCTTGCCAGGACCAGCACCGCTGTTGCCAGGGCACAGATGAGCAAAACAGTAAACAGAGTGGCTAGGGCACCCCGGAGGCAGCCTCAGCGGGGACGGGACCCGCACATTGTGGTCCCCTTGTTCCCAGGTCTAGGTCTGCACACGCACATAGGCATCCATGCATGTGCACGTGTGTGGGTGCAGTGTGCGAGTGCGTGTGTGTGTGTGTGCGTGGGGGGTATCTGGGCCCATCTGGGCCCATGTGCGTGCCTCTGTGGTCTGAGGGTGAGGCTCATGGAGACTGGGTCTGCCTCTGTGTGAGCTGGGTGTGCCCGTTGCTGTCCCATGTGCATCCGTGTGTGCCAGCGCAAGGGGCCCTGGCTGCCTGCTGTGGCTCCGTGTGTCAAGCAAGGGCTGAGCGAGGGTCTGCGTGGGGCTCCTGTGCCCATGGGGTGGACCCCAGGAGATTGCGCACACATGTGTCCGGGGTCTATGCGCTCATTTGTGCCTGTGAAGGCTCCCCTGAGGCTTAAGAGAGGAGGCCAAGGAGCAGGACGGAGGACCCTCACCCCATCCAAAGAGAAGCCCCACGGCGAAGGCCCGAGAGCAGGCCTGGCGAGGGGCTGAGGCTCAAACCAGGCCCAGGCGCCCACACACCCGAGCACACACAAGGACATCCACATGTACGAGTATATTAGACGCACAAACACACGCCACCTGGGCACACGCACACCCGTGCACCATACACGTTGCCAAAACACACCCCAGACACCCCAACACACACACAGTCCCATGCACACCCACGAAGACTCGGATGTGGCAACAGGGGAGCAAGATTGCCAGGCTTGCCCCCCAGGAAACCCCTCTCAAGGGTGCCCCAGAAAAGGGCTGCTGGGTGCCTTCTCTCCACCCCAGCCCCTCTGCTGGTGTGCACAGGTGGGGAGGGTCCTGGACCCCAGGCCTCAGCCGACAGCCGCATGGACACTGGGGCTCTTCCTCCCCAGGTAGAACATGGCCCAGCAGCCCCCCCAGCTCCAGCAAAGGCCTGCAGAGGCAGGAAGCTGGACTTCATCTGCTGGATGATGGGAGCCAGGTGTGGGGAATTTAGCAGCGTCCTCGGGGGCTGGGAGTTGAAGGCACTTCTGAGGAGCAGGGGCGGGCGGTGGATTCAGGGGTGCGTGGAAAGAGCAGGCTGTTTGGTTTGTGGGGCTGGAGTCCCATGTGGCTGCAGCAGGGGGAGCGGGCCTTGAACTCGGGCCTGTGGAGGGGCCTGGCTTTTGTCTGAGAGGCTTAGGGGAGACCTAGGAGAGATTAGATCATGTACTGGCAGGGCCTCCTGGCCGGGGGATGGAGGCCTGGAGGGGAGCGGACTGCGGGGTCATGCAGCGGACACTGCCCGGGAAGGACTGAGACCCCGGCCGGGAGACCCTAGTGCTGCATCCGGCTCTAGCGTAGGGCCCCTCCCTGGGTCTGGGGTAGTAAGCCCTGTAGAGGCACAGAGACCCTGAAGTCTCCTTTAGGGATGCAGGTGAGCTGGGGGAGAGAGGGTCATGACGGCCAGGGCCAGTGGTGCCTGCTGGACACCAATGGTCCAAGATCCTCTGGGCCAGGGCTCCCGATCCCCAGGCCCAGGTCGACCTCTCTTTTCCTGTGGCTGTCCCCCCTAGCCCTGGGGTGTCAGGGTGTTCTGAGGGCAGAAGCTCTCTCTTGCCTCAGTTTCCCCATCTTTGAAACAGCCCATAGAGACTCCATAGAGGGCTCTGAGATAAGGGTCAAGTGGTGTTGGGTGAGCTGATCCTGCAGGCCCCCCAGCTATCAGGTCAGGCCCAGGCTGGAGCCCCCAGGGTTGCCGGGCTCCTCCAAGCAGGTCGTCCTCCTCTCAGCCCTGGGCACTGTGTGGAGTCCACCTTCTCCCAACACACCATGCTCTTGGGGTGCAGGAAGGAGCTTCCCAGGCAGGTGGGGTGGGGGGTGGCTGCCCAGCTGGGTCACCTAGCTTGCCAAGGCTGCATGGACTTAGGTGGCCATGGCCAGCTCTCTCTCTTGTACCCCCAGCAACCTCTTCCCAGACCTTCCTAGGGCCCTGCCTGGGGCAAAGGCCACACTGGTCTAGGATCTGGCTCTAATTAGGTCCAGGGAGGCAAGCTTGGGAAAGGGGATGGAGGGTCTGAAGTCCCGTCCTTGGGTCTCTTCAGGCCTGTCTGGACGTTGGAGCCCCTCTCCCCCATCCCTAGGAGGGCAGATGGCTGCCCACGTGCTTACAGAGCCCTGGGGCCTCCCCCTGGGGGGCATGACCTATATTCTAAAGATGGGTAAACTGAGTCATGGAGAGCCGGTCTAGGGTTGGCCCTGGTTGGCCAGTGGCAGGGCTTGTCCACCATGCTCTCCATGTGGCCCCCAGTGAGGCCAGCTTAGATGGGAGGAGTGGCACCCCGTCTCAGCCATGGTGTGACTGTCCCCCATGTCCCCCACCCCAGGCTCACCACCCAGTGGAACATAGAGGACAAGGAGGAGGCCGCCCGTGAGCGGCGCCGGCGGGAGCGCGACAGGCAGCTGCGGGACCAGTACGAGGAGGGAGGCAGCCATGCCCCAGAGCCGCCGGAGCAGGAGGCGCTGTAAGCCCCCATCTCGTGCAGGGTCTGGGCAGAGGGGGGTGCCGGGGGTCAGGCCCGGGCTTGGAGGTCCCCATGCTGAATGAGACTGAGGAGGGGCCCGAGCCAGGAGCAGGGGCAGCAGTGCAGTGGGGGACTGTTCTTGGGGTGAGGGTGGTCGGCAGCCCTGAGCGACCCAGTCTGCGGATGCCTGACCGGCCAGAGGGGCTACAAAGACACGTGAGGCTGCCCCTCCCGCCCCCTCCTGGGGCTCTGACTCAGGCTCTGGACGCTCCATGTAGTCCCGGCCCTTGCTTGGACTCCCTCTGACCCCAGCTGTGGGGCCCCAGCCCCCGAGCCCCCCGCCCCAACTCCCTGCTGCCGGTGACTCACGAAGGCCACGTCCAACTTGGCGGGCCACGGGCCGGCTCGTTTCCTCCCCGGGCCCAGGAGGCCTCCGCGGCTGGGCTGGGCTGTTTTTCCAATAATGATCCCCTTCCTCCCGGCCCTGTTTTGTTCCATTTTCTCCGAGTCAGCAGCTTTGGGCGGGGTGGGGTGCTACAGCGGTCACGGCCCCTCGGCCAGATCTGCGGTCACCCCGAGCCTGAGAGCCCTTCCTAGCCCCCAGCCCCTGCTACTCGAGAAGCTCCCCTGCTACAAAGGAATGCCTGTGGGGACAGGGGCTTGGGGAAGGAACCCAGGGCCAGCACAGCCTTGGGAGCCCCAGACTGGTGGGGGAGGCACGGCCCTGCTCTCGGGGAGCCCCAGACTGGTGGGGGAGGCACGGCCCTGCTCTCGGGGAGCCCCAGACTGGTGGGGGAGGCACGGCCCTGCTCTCGGGGAGCCCCAGACTGGTGGGGGAGGCACGGCCCTGCTCTCGGGGAGCCCCAGACTGGTGGGGGAGGCACGGCCCTGCTCTCGGGGAGCCCCAGACTGGTGGGGGAGGCACGGCCCTGCTCTCGGGGAGCCCCAGACTGGTGGGGGAGGCACGGCCCTGCTCTCGGGGAGCCCCAGACTGGTGGGGGAGGCACGGCCCTGCTCTCGGGGAGCCCCAGACTGGTGGGGGAGGCACGGCCCTGCTCTCGGGGAGCCCCAGACTGGTGGGGGAGGCACGGCCCTGCTCTCGGGGAGCCCCAGACTGGTGGGGGAGGCACGGCCCTGCTCTCGGGGAGCCCCAGACTGGTGGGGGAGGCACGGCCCTGCTCTCGGGGAGCCCCAGACTGGTGGGGGAGGCACGGCCCTGCTCTCGGGGAGCCCCAGACTGGTGGGGGAGGCACGGCCCTGCTCTCGGGGAGCCCCAGACTGGTGGGGGAGGCACGGCCCTGCTCTCGGGGAGCCCCAGACTGGTGGGGGAGGCACGGCCCTGCTCTCGGGGAGCCCCAGACTGGTGGGGGAGGCACGGCCCGACAGGCAAGTGGGCTTGGAGCCCTGAGGCTGGGCTGCCGGGCACCGCTCCAGCCCTCTCAGCCCTCACTGTGCATCGGGCAGCAGCCCTCTGCTCCCCCTTCTCAACCAGCCCCCCAAAATGCCCCGTGGCTGTGAAAGGGGGAGAAAGGAGGGAAGGGAGGAAGAGAGGTAGACTGCAAGGCAGCCAGCGGAGGGGCTGCGGGGAGGGGCGGTGAGGAAGTTTCATTCCTGGGCTCCCCAGGGCCCCTGGGCCCCATCCAGACCAGCTGCGGCCGGCCGGGTGTCGCCACATCAGCACGCAGCTGCAGCCCGCTCACGTGATGGAGGCCCTGCAGCCCCCGCCGCCCGCCGCCCCTTCCTCCCTTGGGGCTGGCTGATCTCCATTCCCACGGAGGGGAGCAGGTATCTCCAGATGTGCGTGCCTGCAAGTCAGCCAAGGGGCGGGGGGACAAGATTTCCAGATGTGTGGACGTGTGTGTCTGTCTAAACTGCAGCCCAAAGTGGGGGGCCCAAAGCACCCCTGGAACCCAGGGATGAGGGGTTGCCCCGAGAGCCTCTCCTTGCCCACAGATTCAGGGTCTGAGCTGTGCTCAGAGCCGACCCCCACCCCGTTCCATCAGGCCTGAGCAGTGGGGGTCCCCAGACCTGCTCAGGAGCTCCAGGTTTGGGGGCCGGGGTCCCCCACTGCCTTGAGTGGGACTGGAGCCCATACCTCTCTCTGATCTGGGTCCCTCCAGCCCCTCTGCAGCCCCTAAACCAGACTGGAGTGCTAGCTAAGACCTCTTCTGGGCGCTCCCTCCTTTCTCTTCCTTCAACCAGGTTCCCCACACCCCAAGAGCCAAGTGCCTACCTGGGACCCTGGTCCTGGCCTGGCCCACAGCCTGGCAGTCCCCTCCCCAGGCCTCAGTTTCCTCCCTCTGCCCCTCGGAGTCTGCACACTTTGCATCTCTGAGATGGGGAAGCTCCAGCCTCTGCACACTTTGCATCTCTGAGATGGGGAAGCTCCAGCCTCTGCACACTTTGCATCTCTGAGATGGGGAAGCTCCAGCCTCGCATCCCACTCCGCTCCCTCTGCCCCTCGGAGTCTGCACACTTTGCATCTCTGAGATGGGGAAGCTCCAGCCTCGCATCCCACTCTGTTCTCCCAGGCCTGTGCAGTTCCCAACGGCAGGGGGCACTTTGACTCTTCTGCAGGAGCCCTGGCCTCCCCACAGCCTCCACCCCACCCCCAGCACCTGCCCGGCTGCCCAGGCCTGCTGCAGCTCCTGAATGGTCCTTCTGTGTGGTTGCCGCTGGCTCAGACCCCAGCCCACCTTGGGTGGGTGGGTCTGGGTCTTGGCTGGCACATACACCAAGGCGCCTGAAATCATGGAAAATGCGAGAATTTCCCATCTTCTTCTCCAGGTTCAGTCCTGCTCAAATGCAGAGCCACACCCGCCTGGCTGCCAGCTGGCTGGCTGCTCCTCCCCCGTGGCTGGCGGTCAGCCCTCTCCTCAGGGATGCAGCCAGACCCAGCTCCCCCAAACACCCACGGACCCCCACCTCACTCCCATTCGATGTCCTGCTCCCCCAACCCACTCGCCCCACAGGGAGCAGGGCAGGAATGGGTTGCCCAGGCCCCAGGGAACCAGCCAGCCTACACCAACAGGGTTATCCAGAAGGCCAGGAGGCTGGGTCCAGCCTTAGTGCCTGGGTGGGCTTTGGTCAGGAGAGGCCTGCCCCGTGGGACCAGGCAGTGGGCTACTGCTCAGAAAGGGGCCACCAGCACCAACACAGAGGCCCCAGGAGACAGTGGGCTTACCTCTCCAAAGAGGCTGGGGTCTCAGAATTCACTGGCATTCAGCTAGTCTGACTGCCTTGTTTTACAGATGGGGAAACTGAAGCTTGGGAATGGGAAGGGACTTGAACAGAGCAATCAAGTGTCCGTGACCACTTTATGTCCCTCTCCACCCATAGGCACCCCCGGCCCACCTATGAAGATGAGGACAGTGATGGGCTGAACCAAGCTGAGGCCTGTTTGGAGGAGTTGCATCTGAGGCAGGAGGGGCCAGGCCCAGAGGAGACTGCCCAGGGCAGTCTGGGGGCAGAGGACGAGGTGACAGCTCCCCCCAAGGGGACGCCCAGCCCCTTGGCCTTGGAGGAGCCCGCTGAGCAGAGATCACCTCCCCTGAGTCCCACCACCAAAGTAGGTCAAGGCCCAAAGCCTGCCTTCTTTCTCTACCAGGCACCCCATGTGTCAGCTCAGGAAGAGGGGGCATGCCCGGGCCTGTCTGCTATCCCCCCAGTGCCCGGCACCCAGTAAAACCTCAAGACATGAGAATGGGTGGTCAAATTGATGGGTGAAGGTAGGCGGGGGTGGAATGGGGGCCTTGCCCTGGCTGCCCGAGGCCCACCTCTCTGCCCACCCTTCACAGCTCATCGACAGGACCGAGTCCCTGAACCGTTCCATACAGAAGAGGTATGTCTGTCTGCTTTCCAGGCTCAGGATGCAGGTCTCTCCAGGAGGGGGTTGAAGACAGTGGCTGAGACGATGGAGATCTGGGGACCTGCGAAGGCTCCGGGAGGGTCTCGGGTGGGCTGGAAGAAGCTGGGTTGGCGGTTACGGGGCCTGATCCTTCTCCTACCCTCCAGTAACAGTGTGAAGAAGTCCCAGCCGGCCCTGCCCATCTCCACAATCGATGAGCGGCTGGAGCAGTACACCCAGGCCATCGAGGTATGATCAGGTCCCTGATCAACACCCATCCATCCAACCAGTGACCCTCTATCTGATCCACACCCATCCATTCAACTGATGTCCCACCACCTGGCCAACATCCCTTCATTTGATCAGCAGCTATCTATTCAACCAACGCTCCTCCATTCAACCCATGTCCTCCAGCCCTACGCCATTAGCAGCGTGGAGATAGTCCCAGGCCTGTCTTGCACGCCACCACATCCCCTGTGCTTCTCACAGCAAGTGCACCGAGTGGAGGAAAGCACATCTTTTCACAGTACTTTGCTCCAGGCCTGCATTAAGGAAGCACTCCCAAGGAAAATACAAACATGAAGAGGAGGGTCTCCCAGTGGGACCCTCTGATGGTTCCCATGGTGGCTGTCCACTAAAGCAGTCCTGGGGCTCTGTCTCCTCTGCAGACTGCTGGCCGGACCCCCAAGCTAGCCCGCCAAGCCTCCATAGAGCTGCCCAGCATGGCCGTGGCCAGTACCAAGAGTCGATGGGAGATGGGAGAGGTGCAGGCCCAGTCTACGGCCAAGACCCCTTCCTGCAAGGTAGGGCCCCTCTCTGGGAGTTCAGTGGCAGGCTGGGCTCCCTTGGGAAAGCAAGCTTGGGACCCTCCAGGATGCAGTGTGTGTGGACAGGACACTGAGACATCTGGAGGGAGCAGTCAACCTTTCCTGGCGTGGAAGGCTGTGTGTGGAGAAGGCCGCGTGGGCCGAGTGAGGGCGGATGGTGTCTTCTTTCCTTCCCTGCCTCTTCCCCTAGGATTTCACACACAGGCGAGGTGGGCCAGGCAGGAGACAAGTTCTTCTAGCCCCGTCTCAGGGGTCTGCACCGTGACATACCCTTCTTCCGCCCCCAGGATATTGTAGCTGGAGACATGAGCAAGAAAAGCCTCTGGGAGCAGAAAGGAGGCTCTAAGACCTCATCCACAGTTAAGGTAGAGTCAGTGTGACTGGTATGGGGAGGACAAAAGGACGGACTGTTCTCCGCGCATCTGGGAGGGCTTCCTGGAGGCAGTGTCATCTCCCTTCTGCCGCTTTCACCTTTACTCTCGGTCTCCTTCCCCAACAGAGCACCCCATCTGGGAAGAGGTACAAGTTTGTGGCCACTGGACATGGGAAGTATGAGAAAGTGCTCGTGGACGAGGGTGCCATGCCCTAGGCTGCCCACATCGGTGAGTTCAGCACAGTGACCAAAGCACCACACGCCACGTGTGAAATGTGTTGTCTGGGAAGGTGGCGATGTGGGCAGGGCCTGCTGGTCTGTGTTGCAGGCTGCAAGGCTGGACCTGAGGGCCGAAGGCCTGGCCTCGGGGATGGCCAGGACCCAGAGTCAGCTGGTTCCCCTGCCCCATGCACATCGCAGCAGACTCTAACCCTCTGCTCGCTGCACCAGAATCAGCCCCGCTCAGCCACCACCCCACCGGGGAAGCCCACAGTTCCCTCTCGGACTCCCACCAGGTCTCGGCTGGGCTTATTAGGGGACTGAGAGCAGCTTGGCCACTGCAGGGCTAGTGTTGAAGGACATGGACAGACAGAGCCCCTGGGAGCTGGGGTTCCCACTGGTGGGCCGAGGGTCTGTAAAGGGGCCACAGCCTCAATTTTACCCTCATGTCCCAGCCGAGAGGCAATCAGAGTTTCACCGCCCTCCCCATCCCTTGGCGAAGACACAGAGTGGGCCCCTTTTGCGGTTAGACACACATTTATTAGTGGCCTGGGTCCCAGGTTCCATTTACAGCACCCATTGCATCCCGGGGTGAGACACCCGGCCCCCACCAGCTGCCTTCTTTCCCTCCTAAGTCCTGCTTCTGGGAGTCGAGGCCGGAGGCTTCTCCTGGCACCTCCGTGTCCCCATCTCTGAGGCCAATGGTCCCATCAGAGCCTAGCTGACCACAGCTGGGGGCCTCTCCACCGCCAGCACCCCCCCTCGCTTTCCCAGCCCCAAGACGGAGGGTGCCTCTCCTCTCCCGCGTCGGAATCAGGCCCTGACACTGCGAGACCCTGCCCCTCTCTCTCCCATCCGCAAGCCCCCCTCAACCCTGCCCCGCTTGGCTGTCAGCCCGGGTGGGAGGAGGGGGGTAGGCAGTGAGAGCAGCCATGCCGGGCCCTCATCCACCCCCTCCCCGGCCCCTTCCTGCCTCCCTCTGAGCACCGTGCCTGCCAACTCCCACCCAGGCCTGGGGCCTCCTCCCTGCACCCCAGCCCGGGGTCTGGCTCCTCGCCATGTGTTAGGCCTGTCATGGGGCGGTGCAGGCAGCGAAACTGCTGATGTGGCTGACACGCTGGCGGCGGCGCTGCCCTGACCACTCCCAGTGCACACAGCGAACGGGAGCTGCCCCGAGGCCCTGACAGCAGAAGGGGCTGCAGGGCCAAGCCGACCCTGCCGGGAGGGGTCAGCAGGGCCCACCCTCTGCCTCACTGTAGATTGCGTTTGTCCCATCTCACCAGCAGCCCCCACGCTGTACCCCAGTGCAGACCCCTTCTCTGTTCCTCTCCACACTGTTGAACCCCATGTGCTCCCGACTTCGTCCACCTCTGCAGCTTGTCCCTCCTGCCCCGTCCACCTGACCTGCCCCTCCACACCACCACTCCCCTTGGCACCCCGGTTTTCCCTTCCCAGCCTTCTCCTGACACCCTGTGCGCAGATGGTCCTGGGGCTTCCCCTTGCAAGGGCTCTGACTTCCCGCTACAGACTCAGGCCCCTCTTCTGTCCGCCCTGTGGTCCTGAGCCCTGGGGGCTGCTCTGGCCACTCACTGCAGCCTCCAACCAACTGCTGTCCGGTTGAAGTTCTTGGGTGGGGGGCTCAGCTCCTGCATGGAGTGGAACGTGGGAGGGGGCCGACTGGCCTCTTGCAGCTTCCGGGCATTGAAGCGAGGCCGGCACAGGAGGGGCAGGCGTGCAAGGCCAGCCAGGGAGCAATCCCTGTCCCCGGGCCCCACCCGGTGGCTGCGGGACTCGGCCACTGACATGCGGTACAACACTGCATCCCACATCTTGCAGGCCCGGGAGGTGGGGGGCCGGGCACTGGCCAGGGTGGTCACCTCCTGCCCTGCAGGCTCCAGGCTCTGCCGCGGCCCCTGGGACGGGGGCTCCTCAGCTTCCTCCATCAGCTGCTTTTTGAGGCGCGTCCAGCCACTGAGCCGGGGCTTGGGCGTCACTTTGGGGACAGGGCATGGGTGGGAGCCCGAAGGTGGGGCAGGGGATGCAGCCTCAGTGGTGGAGCCAGCTGTTGGGGGCTCCTCCAGGTGTTCAGCTTGGGGGGCCCCATTGGCTGGGCTGTAAGGAGAGGGTCCTGAGGAGTGGTAGGTGGGTGCTATGGCCACAACAACCCTGGTGCTGGCCTCTCTGGGCACCGAGGCCTGGAAGCCGGGTGGGAGCCTTGGCACAGGGGGCTCCTCAGGCTGGGGACTGGCAGCCTGGGCCCCAGCGAGCAGTGGCCGGATGTGAGCCACGGGGATCAGGGGCTGGGCGCTGGGAGGGCATGGGGCCGTGTCTCCATCCTGGCTGCTAGGGCCCCCTTCCTGGGCCGTCTTAGGGGGCTCTGGGGTCCCAGCATGTGGGGATGGCACCAGTTGTATGTGCATCTGTGTGATGTGGGTGTCCCCTCCAGCCAGGGCCAAGACAGGGGCCAAACTCTGGTGGAGCCGATCAGGTTCTGGGCTGGGGGCTTCAGGCTGGGGCCCTGGGGCCCTGTGGTGAGAGGCCAGGATCCTGTGCTGGGTGAGGCTGAAGGAGAAGGTGGACTTCTGCAGCGGTGACGCCACGTGGTGGATGGTGGGGGTGTGTGGGGAGTGGGGCAGGGTGGCCACCGTGTGGGGGGCTTCCATGGGGCAGGGGGCCTCAAAGGCGCAGGGGACCGTGGTCTCCTGGTCGTGGCTGGCTTCACTCACAGGGGACAGGGAGGTACGGAAGGCCCCCAGTGGGGTGGGGGGCCCGCCCCCGGCCAACTTCTTCCGGGCCGCCTTCCTCAGAAGTTTCTGCAGACGAAGGTTGTCCTTCCCTGGCTTGGGCGGCACAGGCGGTGGGGGTCCTGGGGGCCCCTGGGGGCTTGGGCCACCTGCCTCCGGGGGTATCGATGAGGCCGAGATGAGCATTGCTGCACCCTGGAGTGGGAGGGAGAGTGATCAGGCAGCCCTCCCTGTGGGTGGGGGCCTGCAGACTCCCATGGCACAGGGAGGGCCCGAGGCCCTGTGGTTGGAGGCCTGACCGTGAGAAGCTCTGCTGCCAGAGCACCCAGACCTGCCAGGTGCACCCAAGTCTGTGCACTGGCAACTCTGTGGGGTGCCCCCCACCACCCTGGTATAGAAATGACCCCACGGAGGCCCACAGTCCCTCAGGTGACAAGGGCTGGGATCTGCCTCCAGGTTTCTGTCCTTGATGCTGCCTGGCACAAAGCAGGCCCACCCGTGTGCAGAACCCGGGCCAGGCCACAGCGCCACACGGGTGGGGGCAGGAGACCCACAGGGTAGCTCCAAGTAGGAGGCATGTGCCTGGCTGGCTGCCGGCCGGCAAGGGCAGGAAGGGTGGCCTGCCCACAGAAACGTGAGGGGCGCCACGCCGTCGCCGGCCCAACCACAGGCGCGTCCACTGTGAGCCAGAGGGGAGGGTGGCGGCCAGAAGCCCCGGGAAGGCTGGGGCTGCCCCATCAGAGGTGGAAGGGTGGGAAGCAGGAGCAGTTTCCGCTGAGCTACGCTGAATGGGGTATTCCTGCAGACCTCCTGGCTGGGTAGTCTTGGCCAAGCCGCCCGCTCTGGTTTCTGGGCGCCACGTGTTTGCAAGGACATTGACAGATGGCATCTGGGCTGAGCCAGAGGCTCTCTGGTTTGGAGGAGGAGAGAGGCCTGGTGGCTGCTGCTGGTGGGAGCTGGTTCTGCCAAGGCGAGAGCGGATCTGCCTGGGGAGGGGCCAGGAAGAGTCTGCCTGGGCTCTCACTGAGCGGCTGGCCTCCCTGGGCGCTGCCATGCCAGCAGGCAGGCTGGCGAGGGGCAGCCTTCCCTCCACCTGGAGATTCCCTCCCCCGCGGAGCACAAGAGTTCACCTTGGCTAGCAGGTCTCCAAGGTGGAGGCTGCAGTAGGGAGCCTTCTCCTGACGGTGGCGAGGGGTGTGGGCAGAGCCAGGGCAGCCCCCAGAGGGAGGCCCAAGGTGTGGAGGGGAGCAGCGGGGACAGAGCCACGGCCTCTCCTTGGACTCCAGCCTAATGCTCCCATGCCCCCACCTGTGTTTCAGCTTCCGGGTCCGCAGGTGCAGGCTGACAGCACTTTCCATGTTCCCTGGGGAGGTTCCGGCTAGATCCCTGACCCCAGCCCTGGCTAAGAAGTCACTTCCTGTAGCCAGCCTGGCCTGGCTTGGTTCCCCAGCATCTCCCACGGCCACCCCACCTCTCCCTGCTCTTGGACCTCCCATCCTCTCTCCCCTCCCACTCTCTGACCCCCCAACTCTGCCTCTCACAGCTGGTGGGAGGAAAGAAACGCCCTGACCATTGGTTAACGGGACCCATCCTAGGAGACCAACAGCCCCCTAGGAAGGCGGGAGATTGGAGCACAACCTGCTCAGAGAAGGCTGGTCACCCTACCAATTCCAAGGGGTGCCTGCAGGGGGACCTCCAGGCTGACAGCCACTGACGCCCGTGCTGGGTGCTCAGGACTCTGCGTCCCCCTCCCCATTGCTTGCAGCCCCCACCCCATTTTGTGTAATAAAGCTTGTGGTGTGCTCCATG